GTTCACTTGGGCATCGCTAGATGGCGTGAGTTCCGATAATGAAAATTAATAATTTTCATTATCCGATAATGAAAATTGGCACACAGACCCTTATGTATCAAATAAATTTATGTAACATTGAAATTAAAGTAGAATAAAAATACGAATACCAAAGAAATTGTAACTAAACGGCACATGCAGCATGCAAATTCATGTACCATAGAAATTAAAGATCAACATAAATTAATGCATCATTGAAATTGTTTATAAATAAATTTATTTACTAATTATCTGAAATAAGTGTTCAATTTCCGTTAACGGAAATCAATTTCCGTTAACGGAAATCAATTTCCGTTAACGGAAATCAATTTTCGTTAACGGAAATTGAATTAGATTTATCGAAAACCGAATAAATACAAGACTAAGATATTTTAAAATATTCAAAAATTAAAAGTGAAATTTTGTAATTATTTCATTGATACACATATTTTATAATGTTGTAAAAATTTCTATACATCTACAATTTTGTTTTTATATGTAAACACCTTTTATGATAAATTAATTTGAATGTATTTTTATTTTAGTTGCATTTAAATGTAATGTCAATTTAAATGATAGTTTAATTTCTATTACACACGAATTAAAATGGTCTATGAATTTCGATGGTACGTGAATTAAAATTGTAAGTGAATGTTTTTGCCCCAATTTCCATTATCGGAACTAGCGCCATCTAGAAGGCGCTTTTGGATTGCACGTCGGAGCGTTTTGTGTCCTTGTCCAACTGTATAAATGCAGCCTCATCCTTCTTCAAGAAGAAGGATGAAGCTACGACCAGCCTGCAATCTGAACGCGCTCGCTAGGTGGTGCTAGTTCCGATAATGAAAATACGTGCAAAAACTTTTAAAAACAATTTTAATTCGGGTACCATGGAAATACACAAACCATTTTAATTCATATGACATATGTCATGGAAATTCAACTAACATTGAAATTCACGTTTCATTTAAATACAACTAGAATAGAAATAAATTCAAATTAATTCATGTTTCATTAAAATAAGCAAGATATTTTTAAAACACTTTAAATGATGCACAGGGTGCTGGGTTTAATAAAAAGTAAAACGGCGTTCCATACATTTCTGTGTGAAAAGTGACAGGTCTGTGTGAAAAGAAATTGACAGCATCGTTTGACATTCGTTTCAAAATTTGTATAGTATTTGTATATGTTTGCCTAAATATCATTTAGAACACAGTTAATTGTGTTTGTATACTAAATTCTAATTTTTAGTGCCTTTATTTAAATTAAGAATGTAGGTTTATTGATTTTAAGTAACTTATACCTTAAAAATTAAAAGAATAAGATGAAAGTAATTTTAACAGCTGTCAAACTCTTTTTAGGTTATTTTGTTTAGTATTTGAAAATAATAAAAAATAAAAGGGTCGTAGAAAAAATATTATGTTTCACATGTAAGAAAAGTTTTCTTCAGGCTCGTGTTAATGCACACTCGGCCTAACGGCCTCGTTAGCAAACTTAAACACTTGCATGAAAAAGTCGCTTTTCAACACTTGTAAAACAAATAACTATTTAGTAGGGTAGAGACGTGGTAGAAATTAAAAAAGCAGAACGATTTATTTAAGTACATATTATAAACAAAAAAAAAATTAACGTAAATGGGTCATTTTCAAGAAACGCCCGCTTTCAGAAAAATGAAGATCAAATTTTTTTTTTGCTTAAATTGACTTTTGGTTGGATTTTTATAAATGTTTAGAGTTTTGTTTACTTACATTTAAGACAGGCAGTCCCTGCTTAAAATACCCCATAGAGACCCTGTTCATACCGATAGATATTTGTATCGGGATGTATGGTGTTTCTATAGGGTGTATCGGTTTGTATAGGACCCGTAGTTGAGATTTATGGTTGTTCTATAGGGATATCCACCATTGATTTATTTGCTATCGGTTTCAATGGGGAAAATACACATAAATGTAAAAATTAGTTTTTTCCCTATAGGACCCTATAGGTTTTAATAAAATTTTGTCAAATGTTTTATGGTTGCTCTATAGGGATATCCCTATATATCCTTCATTGAGTTATTTTCTATCGGTCTCAATAGGGAAAATGTAAAAGTTATGGTGTGCCTATAGGTAATTTCCTATACATTTTCTATCGGGCTGTATCCGGAAAAACCCATGGACAAATGCACATATAGAATCCGGTAGCGCCCGATAGATTATTTTGTATAGGTATCTATGGGGTATTTTAAGCAGGGGTGCACTTTTTAATTTTTTTTACGTTTGTGTCAGAAAAATGTGTTTAGCTAGCTTTATACAGGGTGTTTCATAATATATGCGCAGGACTTCAGGATGTGATAGCTCATCCAAAAAGATGAAAAAAGTCGCTATTAACTTACCCTCTAAAATGCACAATTTTCGAGATACAGAGTGTTGAAATTTTAGAAAAAAAAATCGTTTTTTTAGATTATTTCTGGAACCGTTTATCGTACAAAAAACAGCTTTTAGAAGCATTTTCTACTCATAATAAGCTATGTTTTGTGCCATAATTGGTGGAGATTTTGAAGGGGTAGCGGGTGTTTTTCTCCTCAACTTCAACGCCCCTGAAAAAAGTACGGTTTTGAGAGGCCCATTCGAACCGCCAATCATTGGCGGCCAATGTTTTCTACAGAAAAAAGGTACTCTTGGTCATAAGCTCTAAAGTTGACCGTTTTCGAGAAAAATCAACTTTTATGTTTAAAAACATGGTCAATTTTTTTAAAAAAAAATTTTATTACTAATTAAACAAAATTTATTTTAACGTTAGAAAAAGTAACAAAACCAAACGATAATTGCAAAATTTAAAAAAAAATAAAAAATGATTTTTTACTCAAATGCTGAATTGTGCGAAATGCGTTACCTTTACGGTTTGGAGAATTAAGCAAAGACAACTTTTAAATCATTTTTTATTTTGCAATTATGGTTTGGTTTTGTTACTTGTCCTAACGTTAAAATAAATTTTGTTTAATTAGTAAAAAAAAAAATATTTTTTTTTAAATTTACCATGTTTTTAAACATAAAAGTTGATTTTTCTCGAAAACGGTCAACTTTAGAGCTTATGACCAGGAGAACCTTTTTTGTGTAGAAAACATTGGCGGTTCGAATGGGCCTCTCAAAACCGTACTTTTTTCAGGGGCGTAGAAGTTAAGGAGAAAAACACCCGCTACCCCTTCAAAATCTCCACCAATTATGAGGAAAAAAAAATTTTTTTTAGCACAAAACATAGCTTATTTTGAGTAGAAAATGCTTACAAAAGCTGTTTTTTGTACGATAAACGGTTTCGGAGATATTCGAAAAAAACGAATTTTTTTCTAAAATTTCAACACCCTGTATCTCGAAAATTGTGCATTTTAGAGCGTAACTTAATAGCGACTTTTTTCATCTTTTTGGATGAGCTATCACATCCTGAAGTCCTGCGCATATATTATGAAACACCCTGTATATCTCCTTGGTGTTACCAATTTGAAATCCAAAATTTAATTCAATAAAAAAAGTTGTTATAAAAATAATTTGAAATAAAATGTACTTAGTTCACAAACTTTTGACTGCAATTTTTTATTTTATTTTTTATTAAAAGTTGTATGCTTTTTTTTAAATATGTATGTTCGTTAAGTTACTTTTTAAAAGAAACCATTCCGATTCTTTGTTAAAAAAACAATACCATTAATATTTTCTAATTTATAAAAACGAGTTTTATGGAAAAAAAATCTTTAGCGTACCAAAGTGGTTATCATGGAATAAGTTTTTATGCATTTGCAGGAATTATTGGTAACTCCTACTATTATAGAATCTTTGTTACTTGAAAATGTACAAATTGTATTAAAAAATTAAGTATAATAGGTACCATGCTTCACACCCAAAAGTCCCACCTTGGCATTTGAATGAAAATAATTGAAGCTATCTATGTCAGTTTAACGCTAATTTCGTCTCATTTTCTGAAAGTAAGCATATTAATGAATTTTTTTTGTTCTAAATATGAATTATTATCAGAGGGAATTAGCGTTAAACTGACCACAATTATTTGAATTCAAATCTCTGGGACTTCTAAATGTGAAGCATAGCACATGCGCTATGGTTCTTCTGCTGATTTCAGTTTAATTGTTCATTCATTAATTAATCATTTACATGCAGTTTATGCTAATCGTTGGATAGGTCGTGAAGGATCTTAATGGTTTGGATTTCTATTTATGAGGTCACCTTAAAACTATTGTTTATAAAACTTTTATAAACGCTTTAAAACGCAAAATACCTTATGCATGCAAAATTGACCAGGCTAATCAGAAAGAATTTCTGCATGGACAAGTCAGTAGCAAACCATCTTAAAAAAATAATTGACATGTTTTCAGGGACGCTACTGGTAGATCAATAAATATGTTATATCCTATTATATCACATTAAAATTAAAAACTTTTTTATAAACCCTGTAGCAAAAAATGTAAGCTATTGGGGACAACTTCATTAAAACTTATTTTCATAAAATGTCCCAATCACACCCTAAAAATTAACAAGTCATTAAGAACACGCTATATACACATTGCACAAAGCACAAAGCAATAAATAGGTAATAATATACATAATAATAAATTAAATAAATTAAAAGAATATTTACAAAAACACATCTTTACAATAATTTAAATTATTTATCTGCACTATATCAAAGTCTACCTAAAAACGTAATTATGTCTTTGGTTTATATGTATAAAAAATATATTTTGACGTTTTCAAAATGACATTAAAAGTCGTTTAAAATTTCTCCCTTCAAATTAAATCACTCAATGAAGTTAAGAGCAAGCACATACATCGTAATATTCGGTTTCGGAGTGTTTATACTCAGGCGCATCAAGTTTATGATCTTCGCCAAGTAAATAAACAAAAAAAAATACAGGCACTTATAAATAATTCACTGGTATTGTTAATAAAATCCTTAGCCTTTATTTTACGGTTTAATACTAATTATATTTCTTTTTTTAGCCACGAAGCTTGGGTCAGCTGCGAAAGTACCATAAATAATCAAAGTATGGACAGTATGGACGCGGATTATTCCATGGATTCCGAATATTATGGTAGTCAGTCATCCACACGTAGATCTAGAGGTATATAATCAAGAAAATTAAGTTAATTTTTATAAAATAAACAATGAAAAGAATACTTTATTTATTGGGGAAACTAGCGATGAAACCCAAAGGAAAAACAGTTAAATTTCTGGTCGGATGGATGCCAGTTTCTCTGCTTTTTTTCTACCTCGAATGGGCTGAATACGTTTTTGTTGTAGAGTTTTGTTTGATCTACATTCAGTCTTTTTGGATAAAAGTTGTATATTTAACGTGTTACCACATAATTCTTGCCATGACCGTTTGGTGTTTAATTAAGACAGTGTTCTGCGACCTAGGCTGTGTTCCTTCCATATTTCATTTCCCTGATAATGTTGAAAACCTTGATCCTAAAACTTTGAAAGTTTTATCAAAAAGTCTACCGATTTATACTGTAAATTTTAAAGGCCAAATTCGCGTATGCCTCGAATGTAAAATCCTAAAACCTGACAGGACTCACCATTGTATATACTGTGGTTTTTGCGTCCCAAAAATGGACCACCATTGTCCTTGGATTTCCAAATGCATCGCTTTCAAGAACCAAAAATACTTCATTCTTCTACTATTTTACACGTTAATTTACTGTTCTTTTACCGTTGTTACTCTTCTATCCCCTGTGGTCAGCAAATGGAGAAAAAAACCTGGCGAAAATGCACACTTAATAATACTCTTTGCGACATGTTTAACTGGTTTCAATTGCATGCTCGTCTACTTTCCTTTTCACGTTTATTTACTACTCAGAAATCGCACGACGTTTGAAGTTTTTTACAAACCAGTTTTTGCCAATGAAAAAGTTAATAGGAGTCAATTTAGTTTGGGTTGGTATAAGAATTTTGTTGAAGTTTTTGGTTGTGATTACAAAAAATGGTTATTGCCTGTAGACACACAATTGGGAGATGGTATCGCGTTTCCATTAGCTTTAAATGAAACTGTTTAAAATGTAACTTTAATAAAGTGATAAGTAATAAATATTGTCTTTATTAAAAAATAAAATTAAACTACTGTTTGGTTGCCTAACAATAAAACCCACCAAATGGATCAGGTACAAAAGTAGCATAAAAATATCATCTTTTGAATCATAGCAATGTAAAGATTTTTACACAACCTTGTAGCATTAAAAACAAAATCATAAATTTAAATTCAACCATTTTTCATTGAAGCGACGATTTGGCATTTGAGACATTGTTACTAGTGCCCATATAAACTAGCAAAACACCTAACCTGTAGAAAACCTGTCAACTTTCGTTTGATCCACCCAAACTGGGTGGAAATTTAATAATTAACCCTTGGTTAGGCGCGCCCAATTGGGCTACCACGTGGGATGATTTTGATCGCTTGCTCATTTTTTATCAAACAAAGATTTCGAAAAAAATCTTACCTGTGATTATTTCCGAAGTAAAACCCTAATTTGATTGGACTGAAGGGCAGAAAATTTAAATAAAAAGTCTTTTTCTAGAAGTAAGCAACAATTTTTTCAATTCACTCTTTTATAAGTAACTACTTACATTTGTACAAAATTTTAATTTTTTTATCAATTATTTCGAAAGTTGTAAAAATTCAAACTTTAATTTAAAACCGATTTAGGAAAAATACCTCAAATAAGGACCATCATAATATGGGTCATTATACTTTTTAGCCCCATTTACCTCTAAAAAATAAATATTTCACTTTTTCATATTCATTGTGACTTTTATTTAGGCAAACTAAAAGTAACTCTAGGTACTCTCAGCAGTAAAATTTAGCTTAAAGAGTCTCTTATTTTTAAGTTTTGTCGTAGCTATAGCAGTGCAGTGTGACGAAGAAGACATTTTTCACAATACAAATATATTTTTCAAGTGACACAATAAATGCACATAAATCGTTGTATTAATTAAAAACAAAGACATTTATGGCACGCCGTTTTACTTTTTAATGACATCAAAGAATTAACTCAAAACAAAAATTATCAAAATTAAAAATTGCCTAGAAAATATAAACGTTTATAAAAATTACTTAATTAATTTTAATTATAAATTAAAATCTACCAATTTATTTTTTGGTGTATTGGATAAGTTTCCATATATATTTCATTTTCATTCATTCATTTCATTTTGGTGTGATCTATATTTTTAAGCCTCAGTTTTTATTGTATGAATATTTTTGGTGGTGCTTATATGTAAATAATAATATTTCATTTATTAATTTAAAATTAAGTTAGAGTAGAATATTTATTTTGGAATAAAAATTAGACAAAATTTAAAACTGTAAGCGCAAGGCGAATATTCTCGAAGAAAAATTCGATGAATTAAAATGTTGCTTAACACTCGTAAACAGTATTTTAATTTGGTGCTAGTGCATAGTGCGGTTGTGTTACGTACTACTATAGTTGTCTATGCAATAGGATTTCTCGCAGAAGAAGATATTTATATAATTACCAGAATTGTCCTACCTACTCGTTAAGTGTCCGAGCCGACTACCTGTACAGTATAAATAATCCACAAACTTAATGAATGTAATTAATGGTGGATTGAAAATATTCTATTTTTTTTATCTTTTAGTCAATAAAAACCAATATTTTGGTAAAAAAGATGTTCTTTATTTTTATTTCAAAAAATTAATCATTAAATTAGGTAAGAAATTAAGGAAAGCAAAACAGGTAAGTAAATAAAATGACAGCACTGAATTTGAATGCACCGTTGCCTAATTTATTTACGAGCTCATGTACCTTCGCTTGGTGGCAGTAGTACGTAACACATCCGCAATATGCACTAGCGCCAAATTAAAATTCTGTTTACGAGTGATAACCAACATTTTAATTCATCGAATTTTACAGTCAGAAAATTCGAGGTACATAATATTTATTCCAAAAAATAAAAATAATGAATTAATATTCTGTCACATACAAACAGCATTGAATTTATTATCTACAAAAATAATCTGATTAAAAGAAACATGACAGAAAGGTGGTTAAATGAAAATTCGTATTGCTAGATTTAAATAACATAATAATTAATAACAACCATACCACAACTTTATTCCCGTATAAAAATTGTTTCAAAGTGTTTTAAACAACAAAATAATTCGTATTAAAAGTAAATATAAAAATTTTTAAAAATAACAATAAAAATAAAATTGTATTCAATTCTTATTAGTCAAATAAAATTTTCAGTAATATTAAAAACATTTAAATATTAAAACAAATATTTCGTGCAAAATATTTGTGTGTCGAATAAAAAACTTTATCACTTTAATTTCTAACAGGTAACTTGATTTTTATGTCGACGAGTAATTTTGGTTCAATTTGACTGCGTGTTTCTCAAGTAGCGCCTTATTAAAATTATCTCGACCCAAATTTTAATTCATCGAATTTTTTAGTCAAAAAATACGCCATCCAGTTCCAGAATTAAAATTACTTTAATTCTTATTTTGTGCTTAAAATTGTGTACTTAATATACCAAGACATCATAAAATTTTTACTTTAAAATGTTCAGTCAATTTTTAAAAACGCAACTTGAATTAATATTTAGCTTTAATAAACATGACATTAAAAAGGAAAACGGCGGTGCCATAGAAATTGGTTTACTTTACATGGAAAAGAAAATTAAATACTGCAAATACTTACCGAAAAAATGCGCGTGACGAAAGATAACCTTCAAAACACACGCTGCTTGTTTGTAACGCGCAAAATAACAATAGCGATACCATTCCCTGCAGCGGCGCCATCTACTAAACAACATGGGTTACAGAGTTATTTTATATGTAATGCTAAACTCCAGTGTATTTTAAAACAAACCTGTTTTTATTTAGGCTGTTTGTGACGAAGTAGACATTAAATATAAGGACAAGGTTTGGTCAAGCTTAAAAAAATATTCACAGACATTTTATCACATTCTTTATTAGTACTGAGGAACTACATATTTGTTATTTTATTTTAGTTTTAAAATTCAGTTTCATCCAAAACCTATGAAATATATCCAAGTTTTCACTAGGTATTGCAATATGATGACATTAAAAATATTTTTATATTTAATTGAACAATTTTCTATTCATTTTTGATATTTTCAGTTCTGATTTATTATTATTTTTAATAGGAAATTTTTGGGACAATTGACAAATGGCAGAAAGCTTTAATAGTATAATGACCCATATATAGACAGGCCGAACGTTTGTCGGCGATTATCATTTTATTTGGTATTTAAATATGATACAGTCTCTTGATATAAAATTCTTGATCCTATTTAAAAGTGTATTAAGCAAGTTATTATGTAGGATGAAAATGTTGTTTGCTTTTTAAAGTTAAAACGAAAAATGTGTTCTATTACAACAATTCAAAATAGAAAGATTCACATTAAATAAAAATACTTCTAAAAATTAAAAACTAAAACATTAAATTCCAAAAAATGCTGGATTTCATTAGGTACCCTCAAAAAACCAAATTAATAAAAAACGATAATGTTGCTGGCCAGCCATTTGATATTATTCTTTGAAGGAATATTGTTTCTAAATAATTAGTATAACCGTAAAATCAGGAGAGGGGGTATCCGTCTTATTAACAAAAAGTTTGCCAACACTCAATCCATTCTCATTGTCAATTGTATGGGATGGTAACATTAAAGTCTTCTTTAATCATTGAACAAACATTATCGCTTGCATAAGGATTTAAATGTATACGTATGTATACACAAAATAAAGATGTATTTATCCTAAATTCGATATTTAAGGTATAATATACATTGATAAAAGCTGGAATGATTATAAAATTCAATTTTGGTAAAAAGGTAGCAGATTATAATAATAAATTATGAACCCCCTCCTTAAGAGGCTTAAAGTCAAGTGGTCCTGGACTAGGTACTAGTATTAACGTCCAGTAGCTTTAGTGAGACCCATCCCCTCAAATTTAACAATTTAACAGAGCATATTAAATATTTTTAACTAATTTATATATATTTTTTTAAATAGCGTGGGCCCGGGCGGACCACCCCCTTAGGTCAGCAAAAAGAATCTTATATCGGTTTTTTATAAACCGCATTTTGCAACACATTTGAATAAAATTAATATAAATTAAATAGTAATAATACATATACGAGAAAACCCACATAACCTTGGGTTAGTTGCAAAAATATTATACTATGTCAAATTGTTATGTTATTAATAACCAAAAACATATTAAAGGGATACCTACCTAATATAGTTAATTACCTTAAAAATAAATCACAAATGGTCTATCAAGTATTTATTTGCATTAAACTAGAAAATTGTTAAATCTTATTCGATTTCCCATTAAGCAGTAGGTTTCTTGGCTCCTTTTTTCTTTCCCTTTTTTGCAGGTGGTTTGGCAATAACTTCAGGTTTTGAACCAGACATAGATTCGCTGGGTTTTTTATGGGACAAATCCAAAACTTCTGCACTTTTCCCTGGTTTGTTTACTTTTTTTGCTGCTTTTGGCTTTGGCGAAGCTTTACGTACTGCAGGACTCATTTTTGTTGGAATTTCGGACAGACAAAAATTTAGTTTTATGTGACAATTTATTGGCTGACACAAAGCAATTCGATTTTTATTTTTGGTTATTGAAATATTTGCAGTGTTGCTATAGTTTTTCATTGTTTAAAAGTACATATATGTAGTATACTATATTATACCTATATTTATTTTAGCTTTACGTAGACCGAGTTTAGAAAGACAAACTACATTATACGATGAATCTCAATATTATGGCCGGTCAAATTATTCAAACTATTCCGAGAATGTTACACAAGTTGGATATTTAATGTCCAGGTTTGTATACTTACAAATTAAAGTATAAAGTTTTTAAAATAAAATGAACTTTCTTAAAACTAATTTTATTTCATTTTAATTTAATATTATAATTCTTAAATATTGTGTACATGTTTTTTTTTAAATTGTACACAGTTTATTTTTTTACAAAATATAAGGGTTTGTAGTATTCCTATGTCCTAGTTTTGTATTTTTTTAGTTCACAATCGTTTAACCAAAACCAATGCAGTGAGGAATTTTACGACACTCTACCATATCCCTTCCAAGAGGAACGCTATGGACAGCAGGAGGAAGATCGACAGTGGGACTCTGGAGGATATTTTAACAGCGTACCACCTGTTTCCTCCACACGGTACGTATTTAATAATATGCTGCTATGATATTGAAATATAAGGGTGTCGGCCATCAATACCTTTTGGAAAATAAATTCTAAATAAACTATAGATTAAATTTTATCATAAATAAATAAAAAAACTCAAATTTATTAAAAAGGTGATAAATGATTTCAGTGATTTTTTGGGTACAGTCTAACACTTTAAAATTATTTTTTTAGTAGTATAGTGCACGAATGAAAAAATATTTATGTTAATTTTCATGAGGGTGGCCACGCTTTCCGGCAATAACAATCGTATTTTCATTTTTCCTGTAGACAGGCCATTCGGATTTTAAGAGTGGGAGATTAATTTTTAAGAGTGGGAGACGCCGAAACTCTCGGCCCGAGAGACGGTTTTTGTAATTCAGTAGTAGATCCTTCACCGGCGATGGGTGATAGTCGAAGTTTGCTCTGAATTATTAATACGAATTGCGCATTATTAAGTTAATTTACTTTTAAAAATGATTCAGATACTTAAAATCATTATTTGTTGTGCATAATCTCAGGATAACTAAGAAACTTAAAATGTGTACCTGGACTTATTGTTTGCGATAATCCTCCTTTTAGTTTTAGTTTTTACTTATAGATCTGGTTCTATTTTTAGTTTCTGTTTTAGTTTTAGTTTTAAGTTTAGTCTATGTTTACATCCAGTCTTAATATAGTTATTGATATCTTTAAGCTAATAACACTATATTGTTAAATTTTATGTTTTCTGTCTTTTTCATTGTTTACACATTTTTTATTATGGTCTATATATGCACGCACAAATGTTTTTTAAACATTTACTGTGTAGAATATTAGGATATTTATTGCAAACTTATTGTAAATTGTAAAGTTATTAGGAAATTTTATTTTATAATGCAATAAATGTTTTAATTATTATTATTATTATTAATACAAACTTTCCCAACAGTGGGATCTGTCTTTAGACACGAGTACCTACTTACTGATTCACCCTTGTACTCACAATGTGGATTGTGCTTGTACAGTTGTATTCATTAAAAAAGCGTACAAGAATTAGAATGAGAGAAAACTGTCAACATTATTGCGTAAAACCGGCTTTCCACTGACTTAAGTCACTATAACTGACAGTAGAAAATAAAAATGCCTCGTCAGTTAAAAAGGCTCAAATAGTATCAAGAATCGAAGAAGAATGGTCAATTCGTACTGTGGTATAATAGAAATAAAAAATCTATATTAAAAATTAAGCAACGCTGGGAACAGGAAGATTTACTAAACCAAAAAGTTGGTTCAGGTCGTCCCAAAATGTCCACCCCTGAACAGGATGCTGCTTTTTTGAGATATCTGAGGATTTATGGGAAACTATACAACTACTATACCTACTATACTGCTGGGAAGATATTAATCCAAATATTGTATTAAATTTAATTCAGTTCATCCCAAATAGATTGGCTCAAGTAATAGAAAAACAGGGATGCATGACTAAATATTAAATTTTTTTTAATGTTTGTTTTTTCATTATTAAAAGGTAATAATTTTTGTAATATTATTTAATTAACCTACGACATCAATGCTCTTTATAACCTATAATAATTATTTTAATGACTTATGTCAGTGATAAGCCGGTTTTAAGCAATAACATTATTTTGACAGTTTTCTCTCATTCTAATTCTTGTACGCTTTTTTATTGAATACAACTGTACTTGCCAAATTTCCTTTTATTATTATTCTAGATGCTCACATTTCTCTACTGTTTTAGGTCGAAAAAGCTCCCATCAATCCCCGCGGTGCAAAACCAGATCAACAAGCGTCGCTCTTCCATAAGCACCACGGACGAGGGGTATCCGGGCTTCGACGACCCGTTCCGAACGATGATTAGCACGCCGACCAGCAGACGGAAGATGCCGCAAATACCGTCGCGGAGGAGTGCGAGCAGACAGAGTTCCGTGAACGATACGGATACCTACGACGGGTACTGCGCCACGCCGGAAAATTCGACGCACAGGGGCGCCAGCCTTCCTCCGACGCCCACCAAGAATCCCTCAAAGGTGGGTTGCGAAGAGGTATTGAAATAGTTGTACAAAAGTATGACGTAAGTCCACAAATGCCCATTTTTTGGGTTAACACGTACCACCGAGAGGTGGTTTGATTGCCATTCCTATTGTAACACTGCAAATGAAAAAAATATTGGCTGTATTCAAGTTCTATGGACCTGAATCTGGTTCTATTCAAGATTTGACCTTTTATATTTGCAGCTCATGTGTCCGAATACTTTTCGGCTCTTATACTTTGTTGACGTTTTTACCTTCATACTCATTGAATATTTTGTGATGAATAGAAATCCGATATACAAAATTCAAGGAGCCCCTTGTGGAAATTTTTCTCTGAGAAAGTCTTACTTTCTCTGAAAAAGTCTGAATAATACTTATTAAGTCGGAAAAAGTCAGAATAAGACTTATTAAGTCCTAAAAAGTCTGAATAAGTATTATTAAGTCAGACTAATAGCAAGATTTGGGAGTCTTCTGGAAGAGTTAAGACTTTTTAAGACTTAACAAGACTTTTAGTAGAGAAATGGTAGGTACCTACCTATCCGAAATAATTCATAGAGGTTGTATTTGGTTATCGTAAAATAAAACACATAGAAAAGTATAATAATTTTCATATTATAACACTCATACGTCTATACTGTTTGTATAGAAAGACTTCATATTAATATTAGCGCAAAAGTCAAATTATTATAAACCTCATTAGTACTGACATTTTAGCTTAATTTACTGTACAGTAAATTAAGCCAAAATGTTATTATTTCAGTTAAACCTAACTTAAAATTGATAAGACAAAATCTTAATAAATAATCTAATTACAATGACGATTCCACTTCTGACCTATTAAAAAAAGGCGAATATTTTTTTACTGAACTTCTATATGTATTATTTTATAGAGAAATTCCAAAGTGACACAAAAATTACTTACTTTATTTACTCGTGGAATTTTCTCAAGAAATACACCTCGGGGTTCTATTGAGCAGGGAATTTTTTGGACTTTTAACTCAAACTTGGTGGTTTGTTAATTTGACTAATTTGGTTAATTTGGGCGAGAAAGTCAAATTAATACGTCAATAATAATATTACCTAATTTAATTCAATGTTTAGTTTTATTTTTTATATATTAAATTGATTGCTACTTTTTTCAAATGTATAAAATTTTCAAAAAAAAATCCGATTTTCCCAAAAAAATACATTTTTTTAAGGCCTGGTTTTTTCTCCAATTTTTACGGTTTCGACACTTTAAAGCCCTAGTATAGGTATAAATATTTTAGAACCCAGCTTTACAATAAAATCGGAGATTTCAAGTTTTACATGCTATGAAAAAAAGACAAAATATAAAGTCAAAACTAGCCCCTAGCTGCAATCCATCAGGAATTAGAAAAAGGTTATAATTACATTAAATAATGATTAATCTTAGACTGCCATAAGTGGGCCTCTTGATTTTTAAAATTTAAATTATTAACAAGTTCAAATATAGGTAAGTATAATTACCTATAAGTTCGCTGGAAAAAGCTTGTAATCAATTTTCATATCCCTGATTACATCAAGGGCCAGTTTTTCAATAGGTTAGTTAAATCCAGAGTTGAATAACTATGGCTTATCTCTGACTAGTCAACTCCGAGTTTAGGTCGCGTTTGGGTTTTCCAATTACAATCATAGTGAGGATTTATGTTCTGTGGAATTTATCAACTCTTTGTATAAAATTTGTAAGGTTGGTAATGCGTTGTCATGGTAACGGCTGCACGCCAACGTCATTTTTGACTCTGTTTTGCGGTTTTAACCTTAAAAAAAAGAAGGTAGTGTGATCATTATTATAAAATTATTAAATTTATTACAATTTTAAAATTACGGTGAGTTTATTTTTTGCTTTAGTGGAAAATGTGCTGCAATTTATTAGGTATATTTATTTAACAAAACTGCTATATGTGATTCTGAACGGCTAAAAAAAAAGGCTAGACCTACAACTTTTTTTTCGGCTAAAAAGAAAGTAAAATGCATACAAAAATAAGGAAATAGCAAGAAAGTCATGGGTTCTACCCAGCCGTTGACGGGGTGCAAACCTGTCCGGCTAAACGAACAGCTAATTCAAAACAAAATTCGTTTTGTTAAACTGCAGAAAGAAAATTGTTTTGAAAATAACAGTGTTGCGGCTTGATTATAAAATTTTAAGAACCCGTGGAGTAAAACCGCAGGTAAGCAAAAATTGGTTTTCCGCGGACAAAGCGTCATTTCTACAACGAACAAAATTAAAATATGACATTTAGAAGGACTCAATAAGCCGTCTTGGAATACTTTTTGCTAAATAAACTTTTTACCTGTTTGTAGGGTATTGTATTACATTTCTTTTAAAATATTTTTTCTACTCCCACCTTTAAAACGCCCTTTATCGTACATGTTTCCATGACACTAAGTGACCTTTTAAATACACATTGACGTCGCTTTAGTCACGGGCTGAAGTTAGCAACAGGTTTTTAGTCACGGGCTGAAGTTAGTTGACAGTTGTCAAATGTCATACAATCGTTAAAATAAAGTGCCTTTCTTGTAAAATAATACTAAATGTGAAAATTATTTTATTATCTTAATACAAAAATACAAAAATATTAAATAGTTTCTCAACGCCAATACTTGAAAAGTTTATATGAACATTGTACTGACCTTTTAATTTCGCCGGCACTAAACTATAACTTAAATTCGGGCACGGACTCTACTGTAAAGTTCTCATAAAACATTTTCTTTACTTTCACTGTGAAAAACTCAATTTTCAAGATATATTTCGATTTATAACCTTTATAATTGTGTTTATAAAATGTAAAAATGTGACATTTGACAGTTTTCCCTGTTGTTTCATAGATGGCTCTCTATACAAATTTTTGAAGTATTTCTCGTAGAAAAAGTATAGTATGCACCTCGTTTATAAACTTTTCTATACACTCATTAACTTAAGCTCTCGCTCGCAAGCTCGCTCGTGCCTAAATTAAATTCGTGTATAAAATGGCGTTTATCAAACTTGATACATACTTGATACAATATACTATTCTACCTTTCTTGGAGACAACCGAAATCTGGTTAGAAAATCAATATTGTCCCACATTTCAAAATGATTTATTCTTGGACAAATAACTTTTGGTCTCTTCATCATTACTATGGGCATTTACATCATAGTTTCACATAATCACTTTACCCAACACTCACTGTGATACTTATGTATCGTTGTGAGTGACTCACAACAGAACGATACATAAACTCTTTTTATTTTAATTCTTACTTAACTCACACCCTTTCTGGGAATTAAAGTAACTCTGAGTTTAAACTCGGGGATCAAAATGAATTGAAAAACGTGTATTTAGTTAACTCCAAATTTAACTTGGGGTTTGAAGTTAAACCTCGGATTGAATCACATTGAAAAACTGGCCCTAAGAGTGTTGCAAAGGACTTGCTAAGAGAATCTACTAACAAATTTAAAATAACAAAACTTTAATATTTACAAAACAATCGCATTATTACCGCCCCGGGCCCCCGAAGGGTTTAGTCCGCCACTGGATGGCCGTAAATATTAAATATAACAATTTTTTAGATACTCGCACGCCTTCAAAACCAAAACAAGCCGTTCAACAGCCTGCCGCCGACTCCGGGCCGCCAGCTCCCCAAACCCAACCTGAACCACCGCAGTGCCAAGCTAATGAGAAGCAACCTGATGAAGCGCACCAGCTCGGCCGAATACTCGGACAACATGGCGACGGCGGAGGCCGCCTACGACAACTACTACATGCGACCGGGCGCCATGAGCGCCCCCTATAACGAAGACTACAACTATGCATATCAGAGTATAGATAACCTCCCCGCGCAACCCGAAGAGATCTTGGACGTGACACCGGTGTCCACCATGAGTGCTGTCAGTGATAATAGAACTAATAACTTTAACGCGAACGTAGTGAACGGCGAAGACTTTTATTATAGTGCTCAAAATGACGATTACAGTGACGAAAATACTTATTACAACACTAAAAACATTTTTCCGCCGCAAAGGAACAAGCTATTCACCAAAAGAGATACAAGTCCTTTGATCCAGCAAAATACCGACTCTTTAGAGTCCAAAGACGACGAGTTGAAGGATTCGTTTGAGACGGCCGTTTCTTCGATGAACAGCTTGATGCAAATGAAATCTACACCTTACTCGGAGTACTCTACTTACTCTACCGCAGGTGATATGGTGATAACCAACACCACACCAACCGTGGTGCAACCTATAGATAGTTTGCAACCAGTCGCATCGCAATACATTGGGGACCACGAACAAAACAAAGCAATAGTAACGAGTTGTCTGCCCAGCGTGACCGTCGCGCAAGTTCATAACAATCACACCACATTCATCAACAATAAAGCTAGAGGTTTCCTGCAATCGCAGGACTCGATCGATCAGCCTCGCAGGCTCCTTAAACAGCAGGATTCCATAGAGCAACCTTTCTACAACCAGAACATCGAAGAGGAGGTTTCTCCCAATTATTCCGATGCGTACTACAACAACGTCGAGGAGCCTTATTTGGAGACGCAGGAGTCCGTGGAGACTTACATAGAGGACGACTCGTCGGTTGCGAACTACAATACCAAAGCAATAAACCATGATTCGCCAACGTCTGTGATACACGTGGACAACTACGAGGACGCGCAAAGTTTGCGGCGCGGTTCCTCGCAAATCACGGTGGTCGATCCGTACCACCCCTCGTTGAGTCGCAACGCCTCGATCGCGCAGGCTCCGGGATCGCGCAAAGCCTCGTTCGCGGACTCGTTCGCCGCTCGTCGCACCTCCGGCGACAACTTCGACGATTTCTCGCGCAAAACGTCGCTCGTGGACGCGGTGGTCGGTAGGCGCGCTTCGCTGAGGCAGTCGCCCACTCCGCCGGAGATTCTCGAGGAGGCGGCCGAGTTGCACGACCTCGACGAGGTGCCCGAGAAGAAGAGCGTTTCGTTCGAAGAGGAGGAGGAGAAGCAGCAGAGACCGCAGGTTACCGCGCAGCAGCGCTGGCTGTGGGCGTACAACAAGATCATCATGCAGTTAAATGTGAGTAGATTCCTTTTTTCTAGTTAACGTGGACAAGGGTAAAATGTTGACTTGATAAAAAGTCAATTAAAGAATTAATTAATAACACTACGTAACAAATAAAGGGTTTTTCAATAGTGACATAACAATTTTGTTTATAAATAAAACACAGAATAATTGAGATATCGGGGACAAATTTATAGGAACGCCTAAATGCAGGAATGGGCTCCATCTTAATATAATTTTTGCGTAAAATAAACCAAACCAAATCAAACCAAACCCAACCAACCCAACCCCCCGTAACCGCCCTATTGAAGCCTAACCACCCTATTGAAGACGATTATTCCTTCGTGCATTGCCCTTTATCTCGAACTTTGTTACCGATGAAATAATCGTCTTCAATAGGGTGGTTAGGCTTCAATAGGGCGGTTACGGGGGGTTGGGTTGGTTGGGTTTGGTTTGATTTGGTTTTATTTTACGCAAAATTTATATTAAGATGGAGACCATTCCTGCATTTAGGCGTTCCTCAAATTTATTCCAGGTGTAGTACACATATTACAGTTTTGTATGGAACTCGACGTTGTTCATATGATCACCAGGAGCACGACGGCATCGATCCATTTTTTGGGTCCAATTTTCAATCACTCTTTCAAACATATCAGCCGGAATGTTGGCAATTTCCCGTTCGATATTGTTCCTGAGCTCCTCTAACGTAGTTGGATTGTTGGCATAAACCTTCGACTTAAGGTAACCTTATAAGGGACCATTTCTCGAGATTAAACGATTACCAAATTTGTCTGTTAATAAAGCAATTGTTTGACCAGCTGTGTGGCTTGTGGCACCATCTTGTTGAAACCACATATCGTTGATGTCAATTTCATTCAATTCAGGCCAAGAATTAACTTTCAATATGGCTCGATAGCGAACTCCATTGACCGTAACATGGCGATTATTTTCATAGACGAAAAAATACGGCCATATTACACCTCCGGCATGAAATCCACACCACACGGTCAATTTTTGTGGATGCAATGGAGTCTCATGAAGCACATGTGGGTTTGTTGCTGTCCAATAACGCAAATTCTGCTTATTGACAAAGCCATTCGGCCAAAAATGAGCTTCATCACTAAAGATAATTTTTCGATGAAATTCAGGATTTTCTTTAAACTTTCGCAGAACAAAATCGGAAAAGTTCCGGCGCTTTAATGATCCAGAGGTTTCAGTTCTTGGCTTAATTTGATCTTGTAAGGGTGTAGCTTAAGATCTTTACACAAAATTCGCCATAATGTGGACTAAGAAATACCCAATTCTTGTGAACGGCGTGGAATCGACTTGTTTGGTTTATTTTAAACTTAAGCTCTTACGGCTGCAATATTTTCAGTACTTCGACCGGTGGTTTGTCTCACTGGCAAAGGAACATTTAATAGTGAATATGTTGCATTAAATTTATTCACCGTCGCATGCACAGCTTGTCTGGTGGAACGAATTATGCAACCAAAAATTGGAGTAAGCGCTCTTAAACTATAAGTTTTAACGATATCCAAACGTTGCTCGTTCGTGAACTTCACCATGATAAAAATGTAGACTTTGACTGACGTTTTAACATTGACAGATCATTAAAAGTTTGTAGGCTATGGTCCGTATTATAAAACAAAATTGTTATGTTCCTATTGAAAAACCCTTTATTATTCGGGCCCTTGATGTAACTTAACGGGTCCGTTAAAACAGTAATTTTTGCTAATTCTGTTAGTGGAGGTAACACGATTTGGAAGAAAGTTTTGAGTCAGGTTCGTATCTCTGTTATACCTCCACAGAATGAGATATAGGTAAGGCCTTTCCTAAAGAAATATTATTATTATTATTTAGTATTTTTTATTTTCTTTACTTTATTTTATCGTTTATTTTTATTTATTTTGTCCAAGTATAAGGTAATTCGCTTGCAGAATATAAATAAACTCCTGGACAAAATTAACGCAACATCATAAATTTGTCACATTTTTTATGCTATTTTTTTGTTGAATTTATGATCCAATTTGAATTATTTTTTTTTGCATTGTAGGTTGGTGCCTTGGCAATGTCATAATTTTCGCTGTTTATGATAAAAAATTCATTTTCGATTTATACCGGGTGTAATAAAAATGTAATGTTTTTTTCCGAAAATTCGTATCACCCTGTGGAGTATACTAGCAACCGAAACCTATAGCAGTTAACATTAGACGGTAGGTCCATATATCGCCAACATATTATTTTTTGGTTTCCTTCATAATCTCTGTTATTAAAGGAGATACGCTGTTTTATAGCGTAACATGTTTTATTAGAGTTTATTATTCAAAACATTAATTGTTAAATGTTTTCAAGTAGGCTATGGAAAATTCGCCATACTTATGACAATTGTTCGAAAACGTCTTATTAAACGTTCGTTTCGTATTTTAATTTTGAAAAATAAATCGTCCAAAAAATTTATCGACAGAAGAAGCAGTAAGAGACTTAACTTTGGTGGATGAGGGCTATTCGATGTCATGTTGCTAATGTGATAGGAAGCCATCGTTCGACTATAAGTCGTATGGTTGAACGATTTAACGAGACAGGATCTTACTCTTCAAGGTCGGGACAAGGGCGAAAACGATGTACCGATCCAAGGGATGAGCGTTTTATTAGGCAAACTGCTCTAAAAACAGGAAGATTACTAGTACTAGGCTAAAAAGTGAGCTTAGAACTGCTCGCCATAATACAATATCGTCTCGAACAATCAGGAGACTTTTAAATGAGGCAGGTTTAAGCAAGAGAAAACCGGCAAAGAAACAATTACTTACCAGAGAGCACAGTTTCAAGATTGTGTTTTGCCAGAAATTATCAACATTGGACTGTTAATGATTGGAAGAAGGTTTTATTTTCTGATGAAACGAGAGTTAGTCTCAATTCTCCTGATGGTGTGAACGTGTTTGGCGAAGGTCAGGAGAGAGATTTGCAAGTGGCAATATCTCTCCTAAAATCCCGTTTGGTGGAGGCTCTGTAATGTTTTGGGGAGGAATATGCTTCAACGGACGCACAGAGTTAGTATACGTGTAAGATCAATGAACGCCGATTATTATCTAGAAAACATTGTAATTGAACATGTAATGCCATTTGTTCCTGTTTTGGGACCGAATAGTTTATTTATGCATGATTATGCATTTATCAAAGCGAGCAGAAATTATACAATTATACAGATAACAAATAATCTAAACTTCTCTTGAAATGTCAGAAAAGGTCCATAGCCTACTTGAAAACATTTAACTATGATTGTTTTAAATAATAAGGTCTATAAAAACATGTTACGGTATAAAAATGCCTATCTTCTTTAATAACAGAGATAATGAAGTAAACCAAAAAAGAAAATGTTGGAGAAAGATGGACCTAAACTCTAATAAAACATGTTACGCTATAAAACAGCGTATTTCCTTTAATAACAGAGATTATGAAGAAAACCAAAAAATAATATGTTGGCGATATATGGACCTACCGTCTAATGTCAACTGCTATATGTTTCGGTTGCTAGTATACTCCACAGGGTGATACGAATTTTTGGAAAAAAACATTACATTTTTATTACACCCGGTATAAATCGAAAATAAACTTTTTATCATAAACAGCGAAAATTATGACATTGTCAAGGAACCAACCTACAATGCAAAAAAAATGATTCAAATCGGATTATAAATTCAACAAAAAAATAGCATAAAAAATATGCCAAATTTATGATGTTGCGTTAATTTTGTCCAGGAGTTTAGTATTATTTTTGTGTTGGCAACCATGTCCACCCTACGTGCTGACATAACCTATAATTATAAATCATTATAAATAAAAATATTTCTGATAATAATTAAGCACAAGTTGTATAATAAAGTTGCATAATTACATGTGGCTTAAGCCACTCACCATTCCACTGCCCTGAAACATATTGCTCGTGCAACATTTCTTACCAAACTTAATGCTCAAGTTACAGAATAAAATTTAAAAAATTGCTGTTATCACAGCCTTTGCCATTCCAAATTTAGTTTATGTCTAAAAGTGTAAAAATGTATAATTTATATAATCGCACTCCCAGTAAAATATTGTAGTAACTAAAATTAGTAGTTTGGAGTAATTAAATTGTAGAAATTGAAACTGGTTTATTTGAATATTCATGAGTTACCCATATACGTAATATTTATATCATATTACGCCGGTATTTTACTGGTAGTTTTATACTAAGGTACCTATAGGTACCTATAAAAAATAACAAAACGTTACCTATTCGCAAGGAAAACGTTTTTTTAAAATACTGTGAAACGTTCGGTTCAGGTAGTTGACATGAATTTTAATTTATTAAGTGTATGGAATTAATTATTTATTTTAACCTAACTTATAACTGGTATATATGTTATCAAGTTGGTAATTCTTCCTGGCGTTAAATTCAAATCAGCAGATAATAATCAGATTTCCTTTATGAGTGCGTTCATAAAGAACGCTGTTAAAATTTCAAGGTTAGAATCTGTTAAAATTAATTTAAAAGTCATGGATTGCTTTTTTTGTATTATTCGTATGCCAAATAGTCATTTTAACTTGATAAAAAAATTTATTAATAAGATTTTAGAAAAAAAAATTGCAGAAAACTACTTTCAGTTAAAAAATAAATAAATTATTCAGTTTTTTTCCAAAAAAATATGCAACTCTGCGCATGTGCGAACCAGATTCAAATGTTACAAACAGTTTTGCATAGGCATACGCTATGCACGTGTGTTTTACTACGATTTATTTTAAGTTTTTACGAAATTATTGTGTTTTTTAAAGTATAAGCCACGCACGATGGTTTTGAAACGACTCAGCGACCAAACTTCTAAGATCGTAAAAAATAGGTCTCAGACAGTGAAAGTAAACGGATCCTTCTCAGCAAAACAGTTTATTAAACATGGAGTCCCCCAAGGGTCAGTACTTGGGCCAATCTTGTTTCTTATATATGTTAATGATCTTCCTTACTTTAATGATCTTGCTAAACATTT